GGGGGCCCCGCAGCTCCCGGGAGCCGGCGGCGGGGCCCAGCGACAGACCCGGCCTCAAAGTCCAGCCGCTCTTAACGAGCGCACCTCAAACAGAGGTTGCTAGGGTGAGTAATTGCTTAACATAAAAATGCCCTTATAGTCTGAAGGGGAAGAGGCCTTGTAGGTTTTTCTTCTATTTAATTTATTTCGCTTGTTTCGTTATTATTTTTAGCTGACCAGGTTCCTGGTTGTGCTTGAGGGTGTAAACTAGAACTCTGCTTTGTTCCAGGTGTTCATAGGCTTGTTTTAGATGTTTGATACCTGTTAAAGATTAGGCCAACCGTTTAAATGTTTAAAAAAAAAAAAGTTGAATTGATGTGTTAGATAACTTCAGATTGTCGTTTGTCCACGCTAATAATTTTTTTTTTCTACTTGCTCTAGAGTTAAGAATTAACTCGGTGATAGGCTGTTTGGCTTTTTGAGTACATAGGTTGTGTCTGGATTGAAATTATTTAAATATATACATGAACATTTTGCAAGCTTTTTGTTTCCTCCCCTGAATTGAAAAACTCGTCTTGATGTAAAGCATAGAATTTATTATGGCAGTTGTGTAACAGCATGATATTTCAATTGTTTTTCTATATCTTCCTTCCCAGCATGATATGTTACATTTGAATGCAATCTTAGCCTTTAAAAATAAAATGTGGGCAGTTTGTCTTGTTGTCCAGACAAGTTTTTTGGTGTCAGAACTGGCTGATAGCTACTCTAAAAGCTATTGAAGTAGGTAGCAGATACAGTTAATGCATTTCTTGAGCCTTGAGATACACCTAGAGCTGACTCCCAGACCAAAACGAAGGACAGGTTCAGTGCTCAGATACTGTTCTTATCTCTTCTGGGTTTTTACTTCTTAAACTTTCACTACTACCTAAATTATGACCTCCAGCCATTTAATCTGAAAGCTAATTTAATGCCAAATCATTGCATTGTTTAGTCTCATTAACAGCTTCTGAATGTCACATATTTAGACTGTGTATCCTGAACTACTGTATGTTTCACAAAGCAGCATAAGAGAGCTTTGAGGCAGAGTTGAATCCCACAGCATCTTGAGCTCATGTCCTTACAAGCTTTGACTTTAGAGACATAACCAGCATTTGAAAAACTGGTATGTTTTTTACAAGACTGGAATTGTTTTCACAAAAATCAACTTTGTACATTTAAATGCAATGTTAACTACTAGTCTTGAGCTTAAAGCATGTAAGGATGGGTGAGTTCACTAATTAGTGTTTTAATCTATGATTGGATGGTAACTTGAAAAGGCCAGAAGGGATTGGGTTGGTTGGATTTTTCCTTTTTTTTTTTTTTTGTTGTTGTTGTTGTTACCCAGGTTGCCTTTTGGAGCAAAAAGCTGTGAGATGGGCATAACTCATCTGGATATCCAGAGAATCCTGTTGTGTGGGATTGGGGGTTAGCAGCCCTTCACGCCGCTGTTGCGAGAGGCTGTAGATGGGAATGTGAAATTTTTATGTTGATAATAGGACACAGTTTAGGCAGCCAGAGAATTTGGGGGGACATATCTGTCTCCTCTCTACTATCTCAGAATTTGTGTGATATTCTGAATGGCTTCCAGTATAGTTCAAGTGATGTGTATTCCTCAGGAAGCCAGTGGGAAAAACCCTCCTAATGAAAGGAAAACGAGTTGCTTAACCACGTTAGTGTCCCAGGACAAGCATTAAAACCAAAGTTTGCAGGTTGGATGTGCCACAGAGGTCAGTTGTCTGAAGGGGTTGGAAATAGCTGTGCCTAGTTGATTGTGAGGTTCGTTAAGTTGTGATAGTGTAGTTCATTATGATTTTTAAATAAGTCCTTCAGGTATATGATGTTACAATGTGTAACTCTCAGACCTAAAAATCAGAAGCCCTTTCATCATTAAGGATTCTACCATTATTCTTCTTAGAGGAAATGGAGAACAGGTTGCTCGACATGTGTTTTAGAATATCTTTTTTTTGTTGTTTTGCTTCTTTGTACCAAAGCTAAAATGGAGGGAGGGAGAGAGCCAGGTTGGCATGGATACATGACATAATATTAAACATGGCATTCTGGTTTTGTATCTTTAAATCAGAAATTATTTACATAATGTGCACTGATAGCAAACCTGTCTTTTAATCGAAGTTTTAGGTTCTATTATTCACAAAAATGCTTGGTGTGTTTTGATAATCCTTTTTGAAATGGCAGCAGTTTATTTTTTTTCTTAATATGAAGAAAATAGAGATGTTACTACTATTACAATTTTATAATTTTTTTTTTAGTTTTATCGAGCAGGTTGATTCTTGCTTAGTGACATTGGACAGCCTGACTAAGCATAGGCAACCTTATCTGCACGATTGTGCATTTTCAGAACAGTTATTTGACTGGTGAAATGCTCAGGAAACAGCTTGTAATATTCACAACTTTTTTTTTTTTAAGTATTTTCTTTTGGAGATTTTTAAGATGTTGCAAACAGGTCCTTATATAGTATTGCCAAAGCTGAGCTGTGGAGCTTGATAAAGTTGCTTTCACTTATGTTAACTAAGGAGCCTCCTACCTTGTAAGATTATGGAGCTGTTTCAGCTTGATAACGTTTTAAGCTTGACTGCTGTATGTCACAAAAAATAAACTAAGGTGTCACAATGCAGCTTCTCCTGTATTTTTTTTCTTCTTCCCCTCGTATAGTTTTAATTTAGTAAGGAAATTAAATGAGAAATTAGAGGGGTGGGGGGAGGGCAGCAGTGGTGCTTAGAAGTTTCACAGAGCCTAAAATTGGTGCTAAGTATTCAGTGATTTTTAGTGTAAAAATTCTAGAAGTTTAGAATTCCTTTTGTTCCAGTTTGAAACAATGCAGCTTTGTTCCTAGTGTACAGAAACAAAATAAGTGAAACTAGTCAAAATTTCACTGTCCAAACTGTCTGACAGACAAACAATTGCTGTTGTTTTACTTAGCATTTTGCTGGATTGTTAGCAACCACTAATTTTTAAGACTGTTAAAATTGGGATTAGCATCAGTGAGAGAGATGCAGCTGGGGGATTTCTTATGTGAAAACAGCTCTGCTAAGAAAGGGATGCTTCTGGATGGAAGGTACTTATCCTGGAATTGTAGGAACTGCTGTAATAGTTTTTATCAGTAGTCATCTAGTGAAAACTTTGAAGTAAGCGATTAAAGTATTACGCTATGAATGTTTTTGGGTTTTTTTTTTTTTTCTGAACTTGGTGAGATGGTCTTAAGCTATCCAAGCCATTGTGTTTTTAAAGGTTAAAAATGCAGAGTTCTGTGTCGTTGTGGATGTGTTAAACTTGCCTTGAAATGGACTTGATCGGTTGTGGCACCATTTTAGGATGGTTAGGGAAG